AAGGTGTTGCTTGTAGGTTTGTGATGCCGGAGGAATAGCTCATTTTCTCGTCCAGGAGAAGGGACCTCTCCTGCACGGTCCCCGCCTGCCCAAGAGTCAGGGACACAGAGGGAGCTCCGAGAGGGACCAGTGAAGTTCATCCTATACTTTCCCCCCTTGATCCCCCCCCCTCTTGCCACTGCCGGCACATTAGCATGCAGGGTAGGCTCTGGTGTGTATTTAATGACTCCATTTGCCGGTGTCTCTGTTAGCTCACACCGCCTTTCTTCAGTCTCGCTTTACAGCCTTGCCTCCCTGGGACCAGCTGGGTCCATCTCCCTGCTGCGTCCACCCGAGTGGACTCTCCAGGACCCGGGTGCCGTTTCCAGCTCGCTTAGGCAGCGAGAGCAAAGCTCCAAGCAGTACTGGAAGGGGAGGGGGCAAAACGAAGCAAGCTCAGGCGAGAGAGGCAGGGAGAGGCTCTGTCTCGGCAGTAATGAGGGAGAAGCTGTTTAGTCATCTCTCTATATATACTTTCACAATGATGATCACATTTACTGATTGCTTCTGACTGCATTTAGAGAGGGAGTCAAGAGGCAGGCAGCACAGTTCACCTTTTATCCTGAGGAGTGATTGCTCCCCCTTCCTTCCCGTTCCCCAGATTTAGCCCTACTTTTGGGCGCTGAGAGCATCTTTCCTTGCCAGGTAAGGCATCGCTGCGAGCCGAAAACGCGGGGCTCTCTGGGCTGACTGGGAGGGAGGGGAGAAGTTTGCATGCATTTATCCTAAGCCTGTTGCTTTTGCTCCCAAATCTCTCCAATGGACTGAGGGAGTGAATGTTTTGCAGAAAGTTTTATTATCTGATGTGATTGCGAAGGGGAAGGAATATGTGACTGACAGAGGATATCGAAGCTTTGGCTGACATATTTTGCTTTAAAGCAAATATATCTTTGCTGTCTGAGCCTGACCCAACAAGGACAGGAAAGGAGAGAATGAACAATTTCAAGGCTCTTTACTCCCATTAGCAGTGTCTCGTCAAGAGCTCACAGTATGTTTATCAGTCGTATTTTAAATCATCCCTGTCTGCTTCCAGAAAGGGCAACACCATGAGATTTTTGTTTTGTTTCTGTTTTCATGAGACTATGAAGAGACATTTATTAAGTACGGCATTGCCGGCAGGAGCTAACGTGGCAAGAATCTATCGTTTATTTCTTGACCCTTTCGGTGAATAGAAATAACTGTGTTCTGTAAAGTTTTCCTCCAGAGCTTTACTGACCTAGCCGTGCCTGTCAGGTTTTTGTTTGAAACTGGGATGAAACCATGGTGCCCAGGAAGCGGCTGCAGCGCAGACGACCTGCGGTAGCCAGCGGGGGTCCGGGGGGGAGTCAGGTATGTTTATCAGTCGTATTTTAAATCATCCCTGTCTGCTTCCAGAAAGGGCAACACCATGAGATTTTTGTTTTGTTTCTGTTTTCATGAGACTATGAAGAGACATTTATTAAGTACGGCATTGCCGGCAGGAGCTAACGTGGCAAGAATCTATCGTTTATTTCTTGACCCTTTCGGTGAATAGAAATAACTGTGTTCTGTAAAGTTTTCCTCCAGAGCTTTACTGACCTAGCCGTGCCTGTCAGGTTTTTGTTTGAAACTGGGATGAAACCATGGTGCCCAGGAAGCGGCTGCAGCGCAGATGACCTGCGGTAGCCAGCGGTGGTCAGGGAGGGACTCAGATGGGGTCGGGAGTCCTGGGAGGGGGACGGGGGGCTCATGCCACAGGCTTTTCTACCAAATTTCCTTGCACCATTTCACTGACCTCATAATTACCTAAAGAAAACAGATTCTTTTCTCTATAGATGCTGACTTTTTTAAGTCAGGAGGAGACATTATTTTATTTCGTGTACCAGGTCTTCTAAACGTCATCAGCAGGGTACCAATCTTTTGTTAACTGGTTCCTTTCAAATTACGTACAGAAATTACAGTAATTAAAATTAGAAATATGTGTATAGCTAAATCTATGCTTGTTAGAATTGAAGTATGTCTGTTTGCTGTGCGAGCTGAAGAGACTGTCGACTGTACAGTATATTTTGAGCCCAGCCAATTGCTTTCCAGCCTAAAAAGACTGGTTAGCAGTTACCAAAACCCAGACGTACAGAAAAGGAGGATTCTTTCCATATTTTGTAGATAAACTAGTTAGTTCATATTTTTTTTTACTCAACTTAGTTTGTGCAGCTCTGAATTACAAATCCAGTCCTACCTCTCTCCATTTTCTGTCTTACTTTGGGGCGGGGTAGAGTTCCAAGGACTCACGGACAAGAAAAAGCAAAACCTCTTCTGCCTCTCGGTCCTTCCTCGCAGACAGTCAATTCATAGCCGAAAAAGACTCTCTTTTTGCGTATTTTGAGGATGAAATGGGACAGATTTAAGGCAACTTTGAAAATCAAGCTGTGAGCACTAAGTTTTCTTAACCAGCTGCATTTCTGTCACAGAGAAATGAGAACTAAACTTCCACAGAAGAATACCCCTCTCTTCCTCTTTTGCTTCAACCTCCTGTCCATTTCACAGCTATTTATAGCTTCCCCACATATACTGCCAGCATGGAAGGACCCATTTTATCTTTAAAAATTGATTTAAAAATGTGTAAGTCACTTATGAGTTACCAGCGCTTTATTAGAACAATTATATGTGAAGTATTTATAGTGCCTCAGCAGCTAATGTAGGTAACCTGGAATTTACAACCAAAGTTATAAAAGTACAGAAGAGATTTCTAACGAGATTCCCCTGAGAAATCAGGGGAGATGAGGATCCAGTGTACTGTAGCTGGTCAGGTCACCGTACATCACCAGTCACTCCTGGTAGAACGACTGTGGTGGTGCCGCTAATTGAAATTAAAAAGCAAAGAAGACAGTTTACCAGCAGGGAAAACAGGAACAGGATGCATGATCTTGATCTCTTGGTTATTTGCCTGTATATATTTGGTGATTAATGAACGAAATGGTTCGCATTTTGCTGCCGCCTGTTTTGCAGTCCTGTTCTTAACGCAGTGTTTCATGAAAGTTAAAAGATGCACCACTGCTGCTAAAAGAAATCGGCAGCTCTGCTGCCTGAGCCCACCGAGTCCCTGGAGATCGCCTTTCAGCTAAAGACCAGGGCATATTTTCAAAGTAGCGCAGAGAAAGTTTGCAGCGCTGCACTCTGCCTCTTCCCCGCGCAGATGAAAGAGCCTGGTCTCCAGGGCTGTCAGTCTGGCACTATTAACGCAATAAATTCCCTCTTTAGGGGGAGAGAAGAAATAGTGCATAGTAATATTGAACAATTCTTTATAGGAAAATATTGTGGGATGTTTCCTCCAGTGCCATGTATATAAGCAAAGCGTCTCCTTGGGATAAGCATCACTGTGGATTATTGTGTGTTTCATAATTACAAAACCTCTTCCAGCAGCAGTAAGATGCTTGCACGAGGGATTTCAACTGTCCTTTAGATAGTAAAATTGCACAGAAAGATACTCCACATTAAGGTGATGAATGTTAATGTGCCCTGGAGAGGAAGAGCATTTCTGTGAGCAGTTTAGTCATTTTCACCACAGATTGATTCCATCATTTTTTATTCAGTATTTTGATGGCCTGTTGAAATCAATAATGCTGCAGCCTTACGGGCTGGAGTGGCGGCTTTCATATAATTAAAAAACTTCAGAGTAAAACTGCCTAGAAGGATACCATGTAGAGGGTATAATTAGGCTTTGAGGGCCTGAGTCAGTGGAATCAATGGAATTTCCATTGATAAATCAACTTTTGATAGGGCCCCTAATGCATCTTATATGATAATGGCACCTTTCACCAGATCATTTTATGGTAGAGTTAGAAAAACATTAGGGAAGTGAAAGTAAATACAAGTTAAAACAGAAGTTAAATATTGTAAGAATTCTGACCAAAGACCAAAAAGAAAAAGAAAATTCATGGCTAGATCAGAACCACAGTAACTACTCTAATTTCAAGAGAAAGCTGGCTTCCAGTGGCTGAGGATCTGGACAACTTGGGATATTTTTCATCTAAAAAGCAAGAGTGCTGTGAACATATTTCATTTCAACCTAATAGTCCTTCAGTTCTTAAGCTGAAGGACTTCTGCCTCTGTTAGCTAGGAAATAATCAAGGTATCTTCCTGCTGGAAGAAAGTTGTCCAACTTTGGAGGCTTCCCTCGTTCCGATGTTCTTGGCACTTGGTAGCTTAATCCATCAGCTTTCACCCCTGGGATTCAAGCTGACTGTTGCTCAGATATTCTGAGCAGTGTTTCCCTGAAAGTCAGAATTTTCCTCTAGTCCGGTGGAGGGATGTAATATTTCACAAGAGTGAAACCCATCTCTAAATGAAAGAGACCAGCAAAAAACCGCTGCTGAGGCCAGGTCTCTAGCTAAAGGTGGAAGAAAACTAATGAAAACAGAGAAGATCTTCTGTTTCTTTCAACTGAAAATGTTCTTAGTGCAAGATTCATTTCATATTGAACTTTTTTAAGACTGGAAACCCAGCTCAGTCCGGCCGTGGCTTTTCATGGCATACAATTTCATTGGGTGATCTGCAGGCTGATTTCACTGGAGTTCCCAGCTCTTTCTTGACAGCTGTAGTTAAACTGATGAGCACGTGAGGCTTACACCTGGGGAATTATGGATTAGTCTTGTTTGTAAGGAAGCAAATATAAATTAGTGTGTTTATGCTACTTTTAAAATGCTTTTAATGAGGAATCATTTGCTATTCAAAATTTCAGTCTATAATAATGTCATAACCCCGCTGAGCTGATTATCATGTGCCTTGTTTAACATCATTCTTCAAATGGGAGATGACTGCAAGCCAGTTGTTTTAAATTCTTGTGTGTGTACTGATATCTGACTCTAACACAATGGGGCAAGACACCCCGCTTGACTGTGTGTTGTTTTTATTTTGTTCTGTATTTTAGATGGAACTGATCTGACTTCCAACAGGTCTCAGGAGCAGCCTAACTGTCTTCTCCAGTAACAAGGCCTGGGGTCATCATGGCAGCAGGAGTAGCAGCATGGTTGCCCTTTGCCAGGGCAGCCGCCATAGGATGGATGCCAGTGGCCAACTGTCCCATGCCACTGGCTCCAACGGAGAAAAACAAGAGGCAGGATGAGCTGATCATTCTCAATGTGAGTGGCAGGCGTTTCCAGACCTGGAGGACTACACTGGAGAGATACCCGGACACTCTCCTGGGCAGCACCGAGAAGGAGTTCTTCTTCAACGAAGACACTAAGGAGTACTTCTTTGACCGGGACCCTGAGGTCTTTAGGTGCATCTTAAATTTTTATAGAACTGGCAAGCTGCACTATCCCAGGTACGAGTGCATCTCTGCTTATGACGAAGAGCTTGCCTTCTATGGGATCCTCCCCGAAATCATTGGGGACTGCTGCTATGAAGAGTACAAAGACAGAAAGCGGGAAAACGCGGAGCGGCTGATGGATGACAATGACTCAGAAAACAATCAAGAAGGGTCCATGCCATCCCTGAGCTTCCGACAGACCATGTGGCGAGCCTTCGAGAACCCCCACACCAGCACCTTAGCCTTAGTCTTTTACTATGTCACCGGTTTCTTTATTGCTGTCTCTGTGATCACTAATGTCGTGGAAACTGTCCCTTGTGGCACGGTGCCTGGAAACAAGGAGCTTCCATGTGGGGAAAGATATGCTGTGGCTTTCTTTTGCTTGGACACAGCTTGCGTGATGATTTTCACAGTTGAGTATCTGTTGAGACTCTTTGCGGCCCCAAGTCGCTACAGATTCATTAGAAGCGTGATGAGCATCATTGACGTGGTGGCCATCATGCCGTACTACATTGGCTTGGTGATGACCAACAATGAGGATGTCAGCGGAGCCTTTGTGACACTAAGGGTTTTTAGGGTTTTCAGGATTTTCAAGTTCTCTCGCCATTCCCAAGGCTTAAGAATCTTGGGCTACACTTTGAAGAGCTGTGCCTCCGAGCTTGGCTTTCTCCTCTTTTCTCTCACTATGGCAATCATCATCTTTGCAACTGTGATGTTTTATGCAGAGAAAGGGTCCTCGGCAAGCAAATTCACCAGTATTCCTGCTTCCTTTTGGTACACTATTGTAACCATGACAACACTGGGGTGAGTATTACTTTTTCTTTTACTGAGCAGCAGGCAAGCATGTACTAGGAGCTTGACTTCAGTTACTCCTAAGCATTTTCTTGGGTGCGTGTTTGAAAAGGGGCTGGAACTGTTAAGGGCTTGATTGTTCTTTGCCTTACAACTTCTGCAATTTATGCTTATGTGAAGTTGTATAAAACAGAAAAAGCACTTACACCCACTTGACAAATGCTTGGCACAATGGTAAATGAGTGCAGGAGGAGCAAGGCTGTGGAGTAGCAGGTCCTGTTTCGCACTCCTGCAGGAGAGAAAAGTTAACATGAGTGCAAGAGAGCTGTCAACTAGAGCTCATGTTTTTTTCAGACGTTCATTCGAGCCATAGATTTTAGACAAGGTTGCTGATGTATATGTTGTCTCTTTTTGTGATGTCGGTCATTGTTTCTTCACTTGACGCGCCAGAAATTATAGATTTGCTGAATTCAAATGGATATTGTGGGCCACTATACTCCTGAAAATACTCTGTGATCTGCAGGACATGATCTGGTTTTTACTTAATTGAGCAGGATACGGGCTTCTTGTCTGTGTTTAGTTGTGAGTTTAAGAAATAATGCAAGTATGCTGTAGCAGTTGCAGTAGAATTTCAAACATTCCCATGGACAGGTACAAAGATAATGATATCAAAGCAAAGGAAATGTAGCCTGGAGGGCACTTTTTTCCCTTATATTTCATTTCTGTCTTACAGATGTTTCTACTGAGATTATAGATTTGAGCTTCTGTTGCTCTGAACTAAAACCTTTGTAAGCAGAATGACCAAGCCCTCACCCTGACGGGGTTATGTCAAAGAAAGCAGGCACCACAGGCTGCTGCTTCAGGCAGTCACGAAGTTATGATCAAATGCAATCTCTTAATTCCACACATCAGAGCAATGTACTAAGTTTATAGTTACTTTGCAAAGAGTTTTCCCACTGGAGAGTTCACACAGTTTAATATTCAGATACAGACAATTCTCATTCTTGTAATATGGTGACCACTTTTTCTCTAAACTGCTTTTGATTTTAAACACTTCTCTGTGCCTATTATACATGAACAGGCTCACAGTAGCACTTTTAAATTATTAAAAACATAATTCAGCTGTCAGAAAGGCGCAGAATCTGAGCATATGACAACCGCAAGTCTGAATTTCTTCATTAAGTGAAAATGTAGAACATGTTTGTCATAGTCACCAGATCTCTTTTTCCTCCTTTTTTAACATCTAAGCAAAGTTTGCAAGTTTGTGTGGCAAAAGCTAAGGTCCTTACCCTGAAAAAGAAGTCAGTGCTTGCTCAGAAATCGAAGCTGGGCTTTAGATCCCAGCACTCCCCCACCCCGTGGTTCAGCTTTCCATATTCTGACTGGTCCATACTGGTCGGTTCCCACCATCGTGTCTGAGCAGCTTCAGAGGGACACCTGTCCTGGGTGGCTTGTTCGCGTGTCCACTTCACAAGGGGGAAATGCAGGAAAATACTGCTGTCCGGTTTCTGTTTAATACTGATTGCGCCTATCTTTCTATCTACACATGCTTATGCACATTCACACGTATGTTGTTATATCTTTGTGACAGGAAAGTTGGGGTCAAGGCAACGTTCAGTGTTGCTTGAGAATAAACCTTCTTTGTGAAATACACGCAGAACGTCCTGTAGTGCAATTAAGGCTCTATTCCCGTCAGTGCAGTGACTTGGTCTTGTTCTCTTTCCCTTCCTTTCTGAACGCATGGATAGACAAACCAGAGTGCCCCTGAGGACTTTAAAGTGTTCTCAATCTGTTGTAATCACAGAAATTATAGACGAATGAGCGCCTTTAATGAGTTGACAAGAATTTAAAAAATTATACATTTAAACACAGCTTTGTAAGAGTTCATTGGAAAGGGACCTATAACATGCTGTCAAAACTTTAAAGCTTAAACTTCTAGTATTACTGATTTGGGATTTTTGTCGCAGGATTTTAATTAAAATGGGTGTCTCTAGCAAATAATCTATCAGCTAAGTTTAGTGTCATACCACAGACTTACAAGAAGCTCAGAAACCTTGATAATAGCAGACCCCGAAGAGCACCTGTGCTCTCTGACAACAGCCATCTGCCTACGACCGCACTCGGCAGGTACCTAGCGCTTCCTTACCCAAGCACCCAAAGTCAAACACTCTCCGCTGGCTTGCCCAAAACCTGTGCTAGAAAGAGAAGTTGCTACTGTGAGCCATAAAAACCTAATTCCTGCCAGACCAGCTCCGCAGAGCGTCGGCCGGACCCCCTCGGAGAGGCACTTTTTGGAGCTGGTCAGGACGGTGGTGGGTCCCAGCTGCGCGGGTGCAGGGACAGCACTGGTGGAGCAAGGCGCCGGCGGTGCCAGCACCAGTCCTTGGCTCATGCAACAGCTCTTCTGGCATCATGGCACAGAAATTCATGAACTCTAGAAACGAAACTTTTGGCGCCAGGTCGTTTCCACCTTCCTGACTCCCACCATGTGGTGTGGGTGGTTAACATCCCCTGGCCCCCTTCATTTCCCCATAAAACCTTTCGGTTTTGACAAACTGGCATTTTCATACAATATTTCATCTCTTCAGAAGTCATTTCAGCATGTTTGGAAGGATCTTGTTACTAATGAGAGTACTGGCAATTCCTATCGCACAGATGTTGCCAAAAATGCAGCCAAAGTCTCTAACGTGCTTCTTAATACATCAGACTTTGCCTAGTTAGTGGTTGCTAGTTCACTGCTTGCGTTTCAGCAATGCTCAGAGCTTTTATAAGTATCTTAAATATTTTCTGACGTTTGCCTTCAAAAATCCAGCCAGCATTTAAAACAAGGAATTATAAAGCACGATGGTTTTTAACTCAAATCTATACACATATGTATGTATTTTTTTATTTGAACATGGAAACAATTAAATCCAGGTAAATGAACGTTTCTCTGACACTGGAATTCCACCATTGCTTGTGACAGAGTGCTTTATAAAAGTGATTTGGAACATGCAGGATAACTTTTCCCATGTTATTAAGACATTAAAAAGTAGCTTGATTTATATAAACGGGAAAGTTTACTTACAACAAACAAACAAGGCTAGCATTAGGAAACCATTAACTCTCCTACTGTACTCTACGTCAGCTGCTGTTATTCCAGATTCCGAAGTATCTTTAGGATACAATTGACTTTCCAGACTGACCCATAAATGAAAAGCAATAAAAATGCATTTCTTCTTGAAGGTGAAGCACTGCATAAAGTAGAATAAGTGCTGCTTTTGGTGGGGTTACTGTGCAAATCAGTTTTGAGAAATCCAGGATGACTTGCAAGCTCCTTAGGTAGTTAACAACCCAAGAAGGTAGGTACAACAGTTCTTCTGGAGTGGGAAACAAAGCAAAGGAATTAAATGATACTGACCCTGCATCTCTGATCCTTCTGCTGTGCTCATCAGCCCCGGTTTAACAGAGGCTGTTTTTAATTTAGCACGATTTAAATTTTGCTCAGGAGGTTTTATAATGAAAGCATTATTCTTGGGTGCATCTTAAATCAATCTGAATTAGTGAAACAACTATTCAAAATTAATTCAAAATCAGCTATCCAATTAATGCAGAAACATTTTTCTCAAGAGGCCAACAGCTACCCATCTTCTCTCTTGCCCCTGTCTAAAACACCGATACAATAAATGTTAGCTTTGCCAGCACCCTCTCTTCGTTCTGCAGGAGGTTTTGACCCCCAGGACCCTCCACCTCAGAAATGCAAGCGCTGCCGAAGGCGGCGGAGGAGCACAGCGCTGGTTCCCATTGTTAGCATTCACATCCCCGTCTTGGTTTTTAGCTGACTTGATACGCAATAGCCTTCAGTTTTACATCTGTATAGAGACAGTTTAATTATCATAAATTTTGTTACCTTGTTACCAGCATGTTGGTTTTATTTACTTTTAAATAGCATTTGGTTGTGGATGGGGCGGCCTCATGTTTCTCTGCCCGTCAGCATGCATCACAAACACAGCTGCGGTACGAGACCTCTCTCACGCTACCAAACCCCACACCATTTTTGCCCAGAGCACGTATTTTTCTAAGCTTTTTATAGCTGTTTTCATTTCACCTGACAACAGCAGTATGTTTCTGACTCTCGGGCAGTGTCTGCGACCTGCAGCGTAGGCAGAAAATTGTAGTTGTGAAAATGTAAGTGCCACATCTGCCCGCACCATCCCGGCGCACGGAGAGGCTCCCGAGGGCCCTGCAGAGCATCGCAGCCGGGCTCCCCACCGTGCCCCGGCCTGGGGGGTGCCAGAGCCGAGCACCGGCACCTAGAGCTGGGTGTCAGCACCCCCATCCCCGCCACGGCTGGGGAGCAGACTGGCAGCAGAGAAGGGTGAAAAACCTGCAGCGTACCCTGGAGGGAATCGGCACTGAGACCTTCGGGCCATTTGTGTCAAGAAACCAGCAGTACCGCGGACCAGGGAACAGAGGTCGTCGATGGATTTTGTTCTGGTTTGAGCTTAGGGGTATGCTGTGTGATTTTCTGTTGCCTAAGGAAGGCTGAGCTCCCACAGCTCACCGCCCTCGGGGTGGTCCTAGGAGAATCTTATCTTCTGTCTGACTGTCTCCCTTACAATTTGCAAGAACATAATGGTTTCGAGATCGCTATCCCTCTTTCAGATTCGGCTGCACTTGTCAATGAGTTTGAAAGATACACATCAGTGCACTTGGACAACACAGTCCTATCTATATCATTCATTTAAGGAACCAGGTTAACGCTAGGAAGTCAAAAAAATAGATGTTCTGGCCTGGTTATGTCAACAGCCTGATCTGGAGCAAGATCTGAAATTTCTTACAGTTTTTATTAGCAGAGTACTTAGAGAGCAGGGATTTGGGGGTAGGGGTCTATTTTGGTTTGTCTTGGTTCAAGCTGGTACCCCGTGGTCCTGCAAAATGTGGGTCAGAGAGAGCGCGGGAGAACTGACACCCGACCAACCCCTCCGAAAGAAACATCTTTCTTTGTTTCGCTTATTTCTTGGGCTTTCTTG